GTGATTTAATGGAAGTTGGTTTCTGTACACACATGAATTAGTGCTTTATCTGACTTGTACAGAAGACACAGGCTGCTTGCTTGTAAAAACCAAGTCTCCACAATACTACAGAGGCAACAGAGCAGCCTAGCCTGAAAACAAATACTTTAAATATTGCTCTCAAATCAGATTTTGACCCAAAGTGTGGTATGCTGGGGGGGAAGGGCAGAATTGTTATCCTTTAAATCCGAGGCCCAATGCCCTTCATCTCAATTTTGAGGAAAATGAGGCAGGAGGAAAAGGTCACATTTTTAATATAAGAATAGGTGCCACCCTGTTTTTGAGGTGTGTCAGAATTATGGTTGTGAAGAGAACTCAAGGTAAAATGAACTAGAGAAATTATAGTATTCATAAATAGTGGAGGTGTAGAAAATAGTGGAAGAAACGATGACTGATCATTCTGAATGTGAATACCCACACTTACAGTTCAAAGGGGCCTGCACCTCAGTATTCATAAATATAACTAAGCAAAACTGTTTATGTATCAGTCGACAAAAACTTTCCCCAGTTACAAATTCACAGATGTTTAAAAAAAAGAAAAAATGAAAAAGTCTGGCATTCCTTTTTCTTCCCAAATTTTATGAAAACAAACTGTTCCAATTTATGACTGAACATTTCTGCATATATTCTTTCATGGGGAAACTATTTTTAAGCAAATGAGTTCTTCCCAGTCTGCTTGAAGCGTAAGCATTAAAGAACTGGGAATTTTATTTTTCAAATTTGCAGAGTAATCAGATAGGGCCTAGGAAAAAGTGATGCCCTCCCATATCAGTAACACAAATAACATTCTCTAAGCCAGTCATTTTCAACCTGTGATCCACGGATCCCTGGGGGTGCACAGGCTGTCTCAGGCATATATTTTTTTCTCGTTTTTAAGTGGGGGGAGTGCAGATGGAGGCCCCCGTGGTGATGGAGGGAGTGGAGCTGGGGCATGGGATGGAGCCACGAGCACCTCATCCGGGGGACACAGGGGGGAGGGGGGTGGCAGCTCACACTGCTACATGCCCTCCAAAAGGGCATGAGGGGGTGTCCCCAGATCAGCATGCAGGGCGAGGGCGGGCTGCCACTGTGGGCTGTGGCCGGAGGCACCAGGCTCTTCCCAGCTGGGTTTGGGCTGGGCTGAGCTTGGGGGGGGTGGCAACGGCGCTGAGACAGGGCTATGGGGGGTGGGGTGGGGGGAGGGACACAGCCACCCCAAAATTTGTCATAGCCCCCTCAAACCCCTCTCCCAGCACTGCCACCACCTGCTCTGAGCGCAGCCTAGCCCAACATCCCTGCCAGGAACAGCCAGGTGCTGCCCTAGCCCACAACGGCTTAGTCCCGTGCCCTGCCCCAGCCCCACTCCCTCCCCCACCGCAGGGACCTGTATTTGCCCCTCCCATGCCCCTTCCCTCACAACAGATCGACCAGCTGGACCCAGCCGCTCTCCACGCTGCCGGGCTGTGCTCCTGGCTGCCCACGTGCTGTGCTGTGACTGCGCACATCCATGCAATATTTATCGGTCACATCAGTTTTGCGTACCCCCTACGACCTTTTTAAGTACCCCTAGAGGTACACGTACCCTCGGTTGACAACCACTGATCTAAAGGGTCCGGGAAAGATGACTACGATCAATCTGTATGCGAGTACCCATACTTACAATTCAAAGGGGTCTCCACCTCCATTTGAAATTTTTTAGGAGTCTCTAAATAAAGAAAAGTTTGAAAACCACTGCTCTGCAAAATACCTGCTCTGACAAACCTGCCCTGACAACGACCTTTTAATTCTACAGAAGCTAAAAAAAAAAAAAAGAATGAAAAGCTTTTTAAAAGCTCACTGAAATCCTGTGTACACTTGTAGATATGCTTCATTTTGTTTGTAAGAGCAATGTCATTGACTGGAAAGGGTTTGCCTGTGCTTAAAAAGCTTTGCCAATCTGGGAACTTAATTCTGAAACACTGACAATTAGACACAGACATAGTTGCCTGGCTGCATTAATTGACAGACAACAAGCAGAGCCAAGGAACTAGGTGGCCAAGATAAATGGATTCCTCTTACAGGGCATAAACAAGGAAGAATGACTATTTAATTCAGCAGGGATCAAAAAATAGTTTGCCAGGATGTGGAAGGCCTCCATTTGGTTGGGGGAAGGGATGATGACACGAGAAAAATAAAATAAAATAATGAAACAGAATCTTGTTCTCAAGGTGTTCACTCACAGAAGTCTCAATAGGTCCCATTTTAAGCACACAGGCAGTGGAGTGGGCACATCCTCTGCCTATAGAGCCCAAAGCTGCTTGTCATTTTATGTAGTAAAATCAACTATAGGATTGTAGTCAGCATGGGCCAGACCCTGCTTCCACTGAGGTCAGGGAGTGTTTTGCAAGACATTAATATGAGGAGTACTGGGCTTCGTGCAGGTAGGGTGGGGTGCCCTGTCTATGTGGAGCTGCTTGCTGGATTGAGGCCTCGGACTATAAGCAAGACTGCTTTTCCTTCTGAAATTGTCTGAATTAATCTGATGAGCTCAGTAGCATGAGGAAAAAATTGAAATCAATTACCACATTTCAAAACCAAGCTTCAAGGTGATGCGAGAAATTGTTGTAAAAAAGCTATACCCCGATCCCTCTCATTTTTCTTAGCGATTCCTACTGCACTTTCAATACAGTCCCTTCAAAGACTTGCTTCCCAGACAAGAAAGAATCCGCATTCCCTGCCTAGTCATCTGGAGAAGCAGAGCTGGCAGGTCTCTAAAGCTGTTTTGAGGGGAAAAATCATGACCTGAACAGCTCCTACCTGCTCTAAGACCTGGTGCTTACTAGCTAAGTAAATACTGTCTGTTTGGTAACTTCTTCTGTACTGAGCTCATTGTTTCCCAGTCAGGTGTAGTAAAAACTACAGACGCTGCATTTCAAACCCTGATTTCACCCTTTAAAACAACATATTTTGAATTTACAGAAGCTCCTTTGTCCTTTCCCATCCAGTAAAATGAAATGCAGAAAGAAAAAAAAAAGCAAGCGCATTTTGCTCAAAAGAAAAGCATTGCTTCTCAAATAGCAAATGCTTTTCTTGCCATGAGCTAACTGTGAAGTGGTATTGTATATTGTAGGAAATGACAATAGGTACTTGTGACCAGCAGCAAGCTTGAAATTTTAGTAGAAAAATGGGCCATTGTCAGGAGGAGGAGCAGGGTTGTGGAAAAAGAGTCAGAGATACTGCACTTCCCACCTACTTTAAAAATGCGTTTTAGAAATAGCCTGTATACGTGATGTATGACTTTGGGGCTATTTACAGTATAATGATTTCTCTAGACCAGTAGATCTCAAGTTTTATATAATTGAGGCATCCCTCCCATAACTTCAATACAACTTCCCATAACTTCTGTGAACTGAGCTGCATCCCATTTCAAAAACGAATTTATTATAGTACTTACATGTTTGAAGAGGGGCAGGGAAGGAGAAGGAGCAGCTAACAGGGAAACGCCAGCACTGCAGTGAGTTGGGGGAAGAGGAAGAGTGGCTGGAAAGGAAGACTGTGGCCCTCATCTTGCTTATCTCCTCTCTTCCAGCAGCACCCCACTGAGGCTGTCATAGCACCTTGGTTGAGAATTACTGCTGTACCTTTTGCATAATATATATCCCACCAAGAAAACTGACACTGAGCTGCATTATGCACATCATCAGATGGGAAGGGGCAGGCCTTCCCATCAGCAGGCATTCATGAAATTTCAACATAGGTATGTTTGGGAATGAGCTTTGTGCCCTTTTTATGGTGACCCTTGAGGCACCAGTCATGGTATACTGGAGGCACAGAATCATATATTCAATTGTACCAATACATTGAACATACTATTTTCCTATTGGGTATAAACAAATACAAAGTTTTAATGAACTCATCTACCAGTTGAAAACTGTATTAGCCAGAACATATTTTAATGACAACATAGCTGATATATTTACTCTGCAGCAAGGACTGGTCACAAACTGTACTTTTAGTCAATGTAATTCATTCACTCTGCCACTCAAACACATATCCTTCCAGTAATGGATTCCATCCACGCTGATGCCAGAAACAGAGCAAACAGTACCACCACAGTACAAACAAATTCAAACTCCATGAACGTAAAGCCCAATGAAAAACCAGAAGATAGGATGCAAGTTTGTGCAGCACTTCCCAGATATATGCATGTTAAAACAAGAACTGCTGGCATCCACCCAACACCAGAGTGGAAACCTTGATTCTCTGATGGAAAACCACCACACACAAGTAAACCAAAAAAGGCATGTGTATAAGTAAGTTCACTGAGACTAGCTAACATCCCTCTCTGCTAGTTTTCCCTTCCCTCCAAAAGAAAAAAATATTGTGTATCATTTTCCAAACCCCAAATCTTGAATAGCAAAACACCTTTCTCTAAGCAAGAGAGAAAAAATGAAGGATTTATTCTTATGACTGTATCTGACAAAAATAACCCCAACCGAGTGAGAATAAATATTTATTTTAGGTACTTTAGAAGTACTAACTTTTCTGTATAAATCCCTTGAGAGGCAATTCTTACCACATTACAGAGGAGAACAAATGAGACACAGAAGGTAAAAGGAGTCAATGGCAAAGATCCTTTGTTCAAATCCTGCCTCGCAAACACACATCACTGGGTGTGTTTATTGTTAATTAAATTTTATTTAAAATTTGCATGTGTTTCCAAAGTTTATGAACACAGACTCTTCATCCTATATTGGAAATCATAAACCAGGGGTGGGTAAGTCTTAAGAAAAAAAAATAATCTATGAAATGTTCCAAATACTAGAAGGAATTCTGCTCACATTAGAATTTGTTCTCTCTCTGCAATTTAAAAAAAAAAAAAAAAAAAAAGAATGTTTCTTTCAGACCTTAATCTGAGTTGCCAGCCGCCCTTTCACTATTCCCTCCCTCCATTTTATCTTACTACTATACCAGCATGAAGTATCTGGTAATCACCTGCTCACCTCTCATGGCTGAATGACATGTGGACAGGTGTGGGCACCACCACTTGGAAGCTCTCAGTTTCTCTCTCGCGTCCCTGGAGATATACTAGCTGCAACTCTGCTAATCCAAAGCATGTCACCTCTGGCCAATTTCTCCCTTGAAGTGTCCATTATTGAAAAGAGAGAATAAAAACATAGGTCTCACTCAGTTTGCATTGTTGAGACTAAAGCTAACTTCCCACTGCCTTTTTATATTTTATTCGTCTGAAAAATACTTCTCCCAAGATTTTTTTTCCTGTTCAGCTTCAAGTTATCAATTTATGAATAATACTTCTGCAAAGTGACTGACAGTCATTAAAGGCCAGATCCTCAACTCATTTCATTCCAAATGTCCAGCACTGGACTGCTGGGCCACCTTCGGCAAGACACTTCCCCTTTCTATACCTCCATTTCCCTCCTTCCTTTCATTTTTATTTACTTACATGGTAAGTTCTTTAGGGCACAGGATGTCTCCAATAATGTACCCAAAGAGCACCTAGCACAATCTGACATCAATCATAGTTGAGGGCTACAGTTACCACTGTAATGCAAAGAATAAACTTTCCACCCCAGGGCACCTAGCACTAGCTATCTCCATGTGCCCCACTGGTAGCTGATTGGCATAACACTGGGTCAGCAATCTCATAGGAGGGCCAGATCAAAATAACAGTTTAGTCTGAGGCGGGTTAGCACTTCCAACCTGGCCACCACTGCTTCTCTATGCTACTGATGCATGAGTGAGCTGCCAAATGCCCCCACTGCTGAATTGCCTTGTTGCTGAAATGCCAACAACCCCTCTGTAACTGTAAAAAAAAGGATACTGGGCTAGATGTCTTGGCCCAGTCTTATGTCTTATGACTTGGCTAACCTCAGATTGTCATATGCTAAACCAGAGGAGGCCAACCTGCAAGCAGCACAGGTGTAACAAGTGACATGGGCTTCACAGGCTGAATGAAATTGCTTGGCAGCCTGGATCTGGCCCACGGGCCATAGATTGCTGACCCCTGGTGTAACCAACTACTGTCCTGTGCTTAATTTTGGAGGGGATACCCAGGGCATGGGATCTGTACTCTTAGTATGTAGGTTTTAAGAGTCACAATGCATACTGTGTCAGTTTATTGCTCGCATTTCTCATCCCATACTGGCAAAAGTTCACTGATTTACCTTCTAAGAGGTCCAAGTAAACCAAGAAAGCAGCATAGACTTGAGTGCTGTCTGCTACATCCATCGACATCATCTCTGTAAACTGAAACCCGACATGCAACAGTGATGAAGTAGAAGCTCTATATATCTAAAATAAAAGTTTTCCATAAAACCCCCAAATAGGTAACATACATAAACTCTTCCAAAAGAGCATGAGAAAGCATGGACCTTGTTTAAAGTACTACTAAAATTCAGATAGAGAGTAAGTGCCAATGAAAATTGGCCTCTTATAATAATATATTTTTTAAATTACACTTCTGGTGCACTCACAAAAAGGAATAAAAGAATCTTGACTGTTCATGGAACAGAGCTGTGTTTGTGAAGAAAAGTAAAACTCTCAGAACCTATTTCTTCTGTGTTATGTCAACATAAGATGGCCAGTTTATACAACTCAGTGTTTTTGTATGTTAAAAAATTAAAATTAATTCAAAAAGCTGAAAGTCCCAGTGATTTAGAATGGCAAGATTTACAGTTCCAAGCCCTCATAATGCACACAATAATATTCTTTAATAGCTCTGATAACAGAATGAAAACAATGCACAAGATGCACTTAAAGATTTTGGAAAACTTATGACATTAAAATCACATCATTCCATTGAATATCCCTCCTCAGGAAAAGGCATAACTTTGACAACACCAAGAATTAGTTATCAGAAATGTGTTACTTCTCTAGATCAACTGTTTTAGAGCCATCTAAGACAGAGTTAATATCCTAAAGCAGCAGTTCCCAATCTGTGGTACATGTACCACCAGTGGTACGCAAACAACCTGTGAGGGGTACATGGCAGCAGCAGGCCAGTGCTGCACATTGCAGTGAAGGGCGCAACCTCTGCCTGGCTGTCTGTATCGCCAGCACTCCCTGTGCGCACATGCAGCTCTTGCATTCATTGGGCATAGGAGGAAAGCCCCGCGTGCTGGGGCCATCTGCTTTCCCAGCCAGGGCTGCAGGGCACAGGAGGGAAGCCTTCTTCCTGGCACCTTCACCTGGGAAGCGGGGAAGGCAGCCAGCTCCAATGTGCAGAGCTTTCCTCCTATACCTGGCAAGTGCAGGAAGCACTGGCAATACAGACTGTCTGATAGAGGATGCGCTCCTTGCCGCGATGTGCAGCGCTGGCTGGAGTCATGCCCTGCCGAGTACGCTGAGCACCCCCACGTGCTGCTGCACCCTGTGGGGGGGGGGGGGGGGGAGTGCAGAGGCCCCCCCACTCCCAACATACCCAAACCCTGCCCCCAGAACCCACCACATATACACAACCTCCCAACACAGCCTATGTTCCCCCCACACACCCTCACAAACCCCCAACACACCCTACCATATACACACCCCACACTCTCTACACCCCACCTGATGGTACTTAAGGTTGTATCGTTTTAAATTGGTGGTGTGCAATCTGTCAGAGCTTGGGAACTGCTGTCCTAAGGAATTTACAAGTAGAAGGTCTTTAGGATCAGAATGATGTTTAAAAAAATGCCTGCGAAGCAACATGCAAATAAATAATATCAAAATAATAATGAAAATTCATTATAAAAACAGGAGGAGAAATGAGTGAGTGGAAAAGAAAGGCACTCTGTACCACTGTGTCTGTCTTGGTTCTATTTAAGTGCTCATCACATAAACTATAGATTGAAATGTATTACTGTAATTGACCTATCCTCTCTCCTCTCCCAGGGAATTCCAATCATTGGTTTTCTTTTATTTAGCTGAGTTGCTTCAGTAGAGAGGTAGAGATGGAGAGAGACTAATGGGGTAAAGCTATTGCAGAGCAGCCAGCTTGGATCTGTTAGCGGTCAAAAAAACCCAACAAAAAACATTTCTTCAAGAAATCAAGCAAAAGTCCTCGTGAAATAGGAGGCAACAGCGGAGAAAAAAACCAAAAAACAGCCAGGTTTGGTTTTTAATGAACGGGCTTTTAGCCACCTGAAATACATGGAAGAGGCAAACTCAAGGTAAAATTCACTTTCAAGGTTCTGAATAAGCTGCTGAAGCAGCTTGTGGGTTGCTGTTACTAGGCATGTCTACACATGAGCTTTAATGGGCAGTAGCTTATTTTACTGTGCATTAAAGCATCACATAAAAAACCATGCTATTTCACTAATGCAGTGAAATAGACTACTGTGCATTAAGCATCAACTAAAAATCACACAGGATCATTACTGTGCATCAAGGAAACCTAATGTGCATTTGTTTAGTCTTCAAGGGCATTTGTAGATGAGCTGGGGTGGGGGGGTGCTAATTAGCTCAGCTCCAAGAGCTGCACTAATTCAAAGCACTGGAGCATCACCTGCATCAGCATCCTCGCACTGAAAAAAGGCAGCAGAGCACTTTGAACTAGAGCTTGTTGAATGAGCTTTAGTTTAAAGCGCCCCACAGCCATTTTTCAGCGTGGGGACGCTGATACATGTAACACTGGAGTCTGCTGGAGTAAGGCGATTACCAGGGCCAGCCTGTCCTATCTTGTGAAACCTGCAGCCGCAGGGGGCCCCGCAGCCAAGGGGCCCCTGCAGCCATGGACTCTGGTGCCACCCCCTCCTGCTCCGGCTTCTCCGCATCAGGGGGCCCCAAAACTATAACTTGCAGGGGGGCCCAAAAACTATGGGCCAGCCCTGGTGATTACCACGCTCCAGCAGACTGCTCCAACACCTAAAATGACAGGGCATCAGAGCAGCCTCCTTGCACGTGTATAGGAGTCCTCGGACTGGAGGCACTGCATGTGATGCTCAGTAGGAAAAGCACCTTAATGTCGCACCTTAGTGTCCACCTGCTCGGTACAAAACAAAGCGAAGCAAAAAAAACCCCCAAAAACAAAAACCAACCCCAAAACCACCCCTCAAATCCCAGTTTGGGTACAGATGGGTGAGAAACAAATCACCATTTGTTGCCTCTCTCTTTAAAAGGCAAATCAAACAACATAAAATAAACCCAAACCAAACGTGACTGCAAGATACCCGTCGCTCTCGGGCAGGGGGCTGGTGAGCAGCCGGACGGGCTGCAGGACGAAGGCGCGGGGAGCACGTATGGCTGCAGAGCTGCGCTGTGACCGCCCCTGGCCGCATCCAGCTGTGCGGCAGCTGCAGGGGCAAAGCTCCGCTGTCCCCGCCCCCGACCGCCAGAAGGCCCCGCCCACCTTGGGGTGAGTCGCCATCCAGTTGCTACGGGCGCCCCGCTCTTGCCCTGCCGCCGGAGCCCGGCCGCTGCTGCTGCCCTCCTCCTCCCCGTCCATGCCCTCCCACGTGCGCTGCAGCTTCGCTCCGGGCCGCGTCCGTCGCTAAAGCTCTCCCCGCCGGAACAAGCGGCCGCGCGCTGTGGTTCCGCCCTCCCTCTGCGGCCGCTCGCGTCTCTCTGGCCTTCTTCCTCGCTGGTGGCCCCGTGGCTGTGCTGGGGTCGGGGCAATGGCTCTAACTCGGTGTTTCCCACGTGCAGCGCCGCGCACCGAGAGCTACCGGGTCTCCTCGCTGCCCCCGGGAAAGAAGGGAAGCCCCAAGGTCCCTGCAGCAGCTGGGAAGGGTGATTGATGTAAGGAGGGAGGGAAGTGGGGACTAGAGGAGACCCTGGCTGGAGGTAGAGGGGTTGAGGTTGAAGATGAAGCAAGGAAAGTTTAAGTTACTAATAGGAAGAACTTTCTCAGCAGGAGGGTAGTAAAGCACCAGAGCAGGCTACCCAGAGAGATGGGGGACTCTCCATCCTTGGAAATTGTTAAGGCCCAGCAGGACCAAGCTTTGAGTGGGACGATCTAGTTGGGGCTGGTCCTGCTTTGAGTATGGCCTTGGACTAGATGACCTCCTGAGGTGCCTTCGGACCCTCGTTTTCTATGATATTATGAATAAGAAGGAAAGGAAGGATCAGTAGTTCAGTGAAGCAGGGTTTTAATTATGGGGGTGGAAAATAGAGCAAAGAGTGATATGGTGAAAAAAATAAGGCCAATCAGAAATGTGTTGCTTCTCTAGATCAACCGTTCACTGATCTGGGCAGCAGAAGAGACAGGGAAGGAAGTAGGGGGGAGGGAGAGATGAGGTTGGCAAGAATAACAAGAATAAGCCCTGAAAAATAGCATGACAAAACTCAGTCCTAGTGAAAACACCACTGGGAAAGAGGCTAAGCCAGCTAGAGAGAAAGCCTAAAGGCTACTATGCACTTTAGTTCTTCACATGTAGTTTGTATTGGGTGTTCAGTATCCTTAGCCTTTTAGTGCAGTTATACAGAGCCACAATGAGCTAATGAGTGTTTGGGGCAGTGAAAACCTATAAATAAAGGATTCCTGCTTCCCACTACAAAATGGGTTGCACAATCCAGTGTGCAGACTTAGCAGAAATCACCTTCTCTGGCTATCTTGGCACCTATTTAGTTGAATTTCAAACAGTTATAAAGTCAGATCCCTCCCTGTTATGGATTGCTAAGTGCTTGTATCTGCTAGTATTTAAAAACAAATATAGGCTTCCTAGATTTAGGGAGTAATAGGCAATATTTTGCAACTACATTAGATGAAACAATGCAAGGCTTCGGCTGGGGCATTGTGCTCAGTTTTAGTTAGCCTTTCTCGTGAAAAGTTTGGCAGAGACTGAAAAGAGCAGGAGGCAGGCAACTAAAGTGCTTAGAGGATAGACATGGACTGGAATTATTTAGCTTTGCAAAGAGCAAATTAAGGGGAAACTGGTGGAGCTGTTCAAACTTAGCCAGGGCACAGTGAAAAGTTAACAGTGCCATCTTTTACCTTGTCCCAGTATTTGGCAGCAACGGGTTTTATAAATGAAATATATTATAAACAAGTCTTTATTTAATTGGGCAGATAACCAATGTGGATTTCACTGGTGCAGGAGGTCACTGAGGACCAATCCTACACTTGTTCAGGCAATTCTGATGAATTTCATCTAAGAGCATAGCTTTGATATTACACATACAACCAAACTTCTTTGTGACCATAAAAGTGATTAAAGCTCTTCTTTTGGCAGAAAAGAGATGACTGATTTCAAAGCACTTTCTGAGCTATGAGGCCTGTAGAAAAATGCTGGCAACTGTGCCATATTCTGCTGAAGAGCAGAAGAACAAGTGGCTGTGTCTCCAGACCGGCGGAAGAAAAAACTTCATAAGCTCTTGCGTGGTGTATTCTAGGGATCAGTAGATCTAAAATAGGGCTGCTTACAGATGTATTCCCCCCCCCCAAAAAAACCCCCCCACAAACAAACCCAAAACAACCTGGCACTTTAAACTCCATGCACCCCTGTGCCAAGCCCAGTGCATGCCAGAAGAGACATTGTATTAGTTGGACCTGGCTTGTCCAAAGTCTGTATAGATCAGGCACTTTAGAGGGGCTTTTTTGGTGCTTTTATCTAATAGCTGATTGAATCAGCTTTTAGGTAAAAGCACCAAAAAGCCCTGTTGAAGAACCTGATCTATACAGATGCTGCAAGAGCTGGGTCTAACTAATGTGCTGGTTCTTTCAGTAAAGTGCTCCCCCCACCCCACCAACATCTGTCAGTACCCCGTAAGCAACGTGAATAAAGGAATTTGCTGAACTAACAGGGACAATGCCTAACCTGCCAGAAACAGTACCTGTAGCCAAACAGGCTCCACATTTTAGAAAGGATGTGGAGAAGTTAGAGAGGGTCCAGAAACAGGCATGAAAAACAGTAAAGGGCTTGGAAGGAAAGTCATATAAGGAGGGGTTGAAAGAGATAGGCTTGCTCTGTTTGCATAAAAGACACTTAAGAGGGGGCATGATAGTTGTCTTCAAATATCTGAAGGGCTACAGTGAAGAAGAGAGAAAACACCACTAATGTCTTGCTGCAGAGAGCAGGACACAAGCCAATGGCTTGTAGTTGCAGCAATGTAGGATTATACTGGATATCAGGACAAATTTCTTCACTATTAGAGCAGTGAGACAGTGGAATTGGCTGCCTAAGGAACTTGTGGAATCTCCATCATTGAAGATGTTCAAGAAGTTGGATAAGCATCCATCAGAGATGATCCAGAAGTAGCTATTCCTAGACTATTTATGAGTATTTCTCATGCTTCTTGGGCTTGCTGACTGCCACATAGGGCTGGGAAGAAATTTTTTCCTTCCTGTTGCTACAAGTGTTGGGAGGTGGGAGCCACAAGGGGTTGCCTTCCTTAGAAGCATTGAGTGTTGGCTGGAGCCATGGCTGGGGATTTTGACTGGAGTGTGCCAATACTGTTGGGACTGTTGGCTACAAATGTCCAACTCGGGATCCTTAAAATTCTGGTTTATTAGGCAGATTGAAACACTGTAATGAAGTCAAATCATAAACCTTGGGGCTGGTCCCCCCCACACACACACAGTAGCTAGCTACAAGAGTCGGGTATACCTATCCCACAGGCGCTGGAGTCTGCCGTCGATGACCAGTCGAGGCTTCTTCCAGTGTGGTGTTATCCTCTAGAAGGGGGTCGCTGGCTGGTCCTTCTGGCTGGACAGGTCGGGTGCTGGTCAAGTTGGAGACCAAGAGGGCATGCCTGAGGGTCACTGCTTTTTATCTGTCCCTGGCAGACTTTGGTGACCCCCCAGTTTTCAGGTTTGCCCAATCCAGGGGTCTTTGACCCTTGTGGGACTTCGCCCTCGGTGGCTACTGGATGGCATCTGTCAGCCCCAGGGGTTGTCCACATGTATGTGCAGGTTTGGGAGTCCATTGATGACTTCTGATTAATTACCGCTGTCATGAATAGGGCTCTGGGAGCGGTTGATCTGGAGATATTCAGCCCCAAAAGTTGGTCCCCGGGGTTGATTAACTCAGACCTGGCCTTCTAGCCCTTGAACAGTGAAGTTTAGAGAATTCCCGGTTGCTACATTGTCTCCTATTGATTTCTTCCCTGGGTTGATTTGCTGTTTTCGTAGGTGTTAATTGACTCTTGTTACTGAAGCCTGCTACTGTGTTACACATTCAATCACTGATTCACTAGCTCTTTCAGGGGCCCGCCTCATGCAGGGAAGCTGCAGTTTGATTCCTGCCCTTGTTAACATTGTAACAATGTATAACTTATTTCTGAAACAAAACAGGTTGCGTTAAAAGGTGAAGAGTATAAAATGTAAGCTACAAGAATAATGCTATGGCACACAAATAGATAAAAATACCAAAATACAAGGGGAGATACCAAATACACACATACAAACTTTAAAACACAATTCCTTATCTTATAGTGAAAGAAAGAGGAAGGAAGAAATGGTAGAAGAGAAACACATCCAAAGAGGGGAGAGCAAATGCAGGCAAGAGGAAAAGGGGGCTTTCTGCTACAGGACTAAACCTAGAGGTTCCTGGCTAGAGGGTCTTGCCTATCCACTCAGGAGTAGGGCAATTGCTACATTTAGGTTCAGGAAGGAATTTTACCCCATGGTCAAATTGGTGGATTGTGGGGGTTTTGCTTTCCTCTGTAACAGGGGATGTAGCCAGGGGCAGATCAAGGGGAGGTGTGCTTGCAGCCCTGCTTTGATTCCTGGTACACCCAAAAGCCAATGTCCTGGCAGTGGCAGGGGTGTTTCTATTTAGGCAGCAGTGATATAGTCAATTGACTTCATAGCTCATCATAATTTGCTTGATTCCTTCTAAACTCTTCATTCCACATGTGTGAATGACCCTCTTTCCTTTTAAATGGTCTTTAATGGTTCCACGACTCCAGCTTGCCTTCCTTCTTCAGTACTGCTCTCTGTTCACTGATCCTAGTCACATTGCACTCACTTCCTAGCCCCGATGACAGTTTTTAACTCTAGCTAAAAAGATTAATTCCAGTGTGGAAATATAAACTCAGGTGAACATTAGCTCTGGGGTGGAAATCACTTTCAGCATTGGAGGCAGTGTTCAGATGTTCAAGAAGGCTAGATTTTGTTTTATGAATCTAAAAACAGAGACCTACATTTAACTGATGACTGAAACAAGAGCTTTAGATTAGTTTTGCCTACTGTTTTGGGGTTTTTTTTTATAAATAATATAGGATATAGCAAATTAATGTACATTCCAATATATTCATTTTTTGCTTCCATCTTAAATGGAATGCTATAGCTCTAGGCCTCTACTTATTAGTGAAGTTCTAGTTTCTAGTTTCTTTTTATCAGGAGAACAATGTGTTATGTTATATGTGATGATGAGGCACCACTCCATCTG